CCAACGCCAAAGGCCAAGCGAACCGTGTCAGTGAGCTGAGCAAAGCACTGACCAGGAGGGTGGGTGCGACCACAAGGCTGGCCTCGGCGAGCACCTGTCAGAACCTGATAGGTGCACGAAGGGTGAACAACACCTCGCTGGGGCGGACGCTGTGCCAGCCCCGAAACCTGCTGCTTCTGCTGCTGCTGCGGGGGCTGCTGCAAGGGGAGGGGCTGCTGCTGCCGCTGGGCCAGGTACCACGCCGCTGCTCCACCCACCGCGGCCGGCAGACCAGGAGGAGGCTGACGAATCCGGGTGTCGCCTCCACCAGCTGCAGTAGGGGAGTCACTGGCCGCTGCACGAGACGCCTCTCCAGGCCCTGCGCTCCCGCCGCCACCGGTCGGCACGCCACCCCCACCACCTCCGCCGCCAACGCCGCCACCGCCGCCGCCGCCTGCACCCTGACCGCCCCTCCTGCCACCCCTACCTCGAAACCACGACGTATTCGTAACAGCAGCTGCGGTCACGTCAGTAGTGGCAATGGCTAGCGAGGCACTAAAAGTGGGCAGCTGAGGGACAGTGCACCTGTGAAACAGTGGAGGGGGCACAGCACCAGAGGCGGAGGCTACGGAGCGGAGGTTGCTCTCGACGTCCTTGAGCACAGACTCAAGGACCTCGATAGTGAGCTTACTAGGGTGCTTTAGAAGAAGCGTGTCACGAATCGAGGCAAGGCGGTCAGGGAGGCTAGTGGCAATGAAGTAGATAGTAATCGCCATAGGAGGGGGAAGCAGTGCAAGCTGTGCGTCAGTGCAAGCAGCGCGGTAGCTAGAATCGAGCGAGCGGAGGTGAGCAATCAAGTCAGCAGAGCGCTCAAACGAGGCGAGGTCAGGGAACAAGAACGGTAGGAAGAGGCGGCCAAGGGAGACAGTAGTGGGAGTAGCGTAGCGGGCCTTGATCGCAGTCAGGAACTCACTAGCAATGCGAACCTGAGTGAAGTGGGCCTCCTCAGACTCAGGGAGGAGGCTGCTAAGAGTGATGCAGGCCGCAGCGTCACGCGACTTCCACGCCGTCAGGTCAGCACGCTGGCGGGTAAAGCGGTCTCTGTCGGCGTCGTCAGGGGCAGGGCTTAAAGGCGTAGGGTCGTCGGGCGCAGGAAGGTCACCAGTAGCGTGCGCCCAGAGGGACTCGCCCGCCTGGACCTGACTCTCTAGAAGGCGACGCGCGCGTAGGAGGTAGACCGGAAACTCGAGCGGTCTACCGTCAGCGTCAAAACGAAGAACCCTAGGGGTCGCCATAGCAAAAGCAAAGAGGTGGGAAGTGCTGCTGCTAAAACCCTAATCAGTGAGAGCGACTCAGTAGGGCGCAAGGGCACGAGAGCGACGTAACGGCAGGCGCAGCGGGCGCGAGGGCACGAGAGCGACGTAACGGCAGGCGCGATAGGCGCTAGGGGACAGTACGAGCGTAACGGGCACTAGGGTACGGGACAGGCTCGGGCGCTACGGACGTGAACGAGAGGAACGGGATCCCACAGGATCCTAACCTAGGTGATACTATGTTAAGAATGAAAGTGTTGGTCCATTGATGTGGGTTGGGGTACATATAACAAACCCTAACATCTGTACCCCCTAAGACAAACCTCACTACAGGCTACAACATTTGACACTCCCTCCCCGTCATGTTTTAAAAACATGAACAATTTGGGTCGGGGGCTTTAGCAAGGTACGGCAAACAGTGCCCCGTTACAACAACTACTCGGTACAAGTCTGTACTGCTACAAGACTACGTCAAATTTCTTCACATTCTATTTCCAATATGGTTCCTACATTCAGTATTACTACCAATAAGGTAGTACGAGTGCTACCGTATGTCGAATCTTGAGAGACGATCCAAATGCTTGTGCAAGGCTAATGCCTAATGTGCTTAGTGAGTTCCTGCTGTGTGTCAAATACAGCATACACAACGTTTCCACAACCAACACTTAGCTTCAGCAGGATTACGGTAGAAGAAGCATCTGAAATTACAGCATCACAAAAGCCACAGACCACACCAGCATCACAACCCACACCCGGCCCCCCACACCCACACACGCAGCATCACCAAGCAACCAAAGGCACGCCCGGATCCACTACCAGCCCACCTAACCCTTTCACTCACACGCACCACCTAATCCCTCCACCCACACACACACACACACACACATATACCTCTCCCAGCATCACCAAGCCTGAATTATTCAGCAACCAATTCTGCACACCGTGCCACCTGTAAGCCACATCAGCAACCGCAGCAACAGCAGAGGAGGCACTAGTAGCAGCAGAAGCAGCGTATCGAGTGCCTTGTCTCCCGCTGCAGATCTCCACTCCGCAGTGCCTCTTCCCCTCCCCTCTCCCACTTAGATCATCGTTTTCGCGGTCTTGACGAACGAGCCAGCGCCCGCCTGCAGGGCACCCTTGGCGCCCTTGCCGCTGCGGAACGCGTTGACTGCAGCCGTGAGCGCCTCCTTGCCGCCCTTCTTCACCACATTCTTCAACAACCCTCCCGCCTTCTGCCCCGCCTCGCTCTTCGCCGCTTGATTCGCCGCGTTCTTGATCTTCTTCCAGCTCAGCAGCACCCGCACCGCCTCGTACAGCCCGTCCGTCGCCTCCCCCACCTCCTCCTCCTCGCCACCCACGTCCACGTCACCGCCGCTCGCTTCCAGCAGCTTGCGGCCCCAACTCGCCGCGTCCACGCCTGCACTTCCACCAGCCACGTCACCCCGCAGTGGCGCAGCCGCGGCATAGAGCGCAGGGAGAGAGACGAGGACCAACGCGAGGATGAACGCGGAGCGAAGAGTGGCCATGGCAACGAGCGTTATAAGAGAGCGTGAAAGCGGTGTCGGATTCTAAGAGTAGCCCCGAGCGATGATGCGGATCAGATTCGGGTGATTTTCGAGCAGTGGGAGAAGTAACTCAGTTGGTGGTGGCGAATGGTGGAATGGCGGCGATTTAAGTATTGCGGCGAAGTACGAGGAGGAGGCGAGGGATCGTGAAGGGATTCGCAGCAGGCGATGAGGTGGAGAGAGCTGCAGAGGTGGTTCGCCATGGTCTCCTCTCAGCAGCTCGCCGTTATTGCCGCCGCACAACGCGCAACATGCGGAAAGGGCTTCTGGTGTCCACGCTAGCGCGTGCTACGGTAGAGTCCGACTCGAAGTTGAGTACTTGGTGTGAACGGCAGCGCGGCCGCAATAATGGCTGTAAATTGATTTCAAATATCAAACAAGTTACTCGCCCAATCTCGCCCGATCTCGTCGTCCGATCGCCAAGGAAGTAAAGCTCGAGAGCAGGGGGTGAGGCTTGGGTGGGGGGAAAGGAGTGCGCTCCCTGTACCGTAGCGGCAGTACCTAATCTCATTCCAGCAGCTCGCAGTTATTGCTCGCATCATGGCGCCGCACAACGCGCAAAGAGCGACTGGCGCGTGAGGCGTTGGGATGCAGCAACGCTGGTAACGAGGACGTACGCTGCTGTGCACATGGGTTTGAGAGCTAAGCGCAAGAGAGGAAAGCTCCGAGATCAATGGCAGTGCGGGAATAATGGCTCTCAGCGGGTACTGGTTTGTCGAGGGGAGGACGGATGGAGGGAGTGCTCGGGACTCGGGAGCGTGTTCGGTTTGGAGAAGGGCTGGTTTCACAGCCAGCTCGATCCCAACGAAAGCAACAAGCCCAACAACGTATCAGCGAATCGGTCGACGAGAAACGAAACGAGAAGTTACCTGGGCTTCGTTCGATGGCATTTTCTAGATGCATGCGTTTGAACACAGGAAGTTTTCATCGCTCGGCCATGTTACAAAAGTAAGTTCCGCTTATCGTCGAGCTGTTCGCCGACGCATCATCGAAGTGGCTGGCGTTCGACTAGAGCTGGTTCGCACACAAGCCATTCTCCCGCTGAACGCGCTCCCCAACACCCACGCCTCGTCCCCTTCGAAAAACTCTTTCCCACCAGAAGCCATTATTGCCGCCGCTGATCTCGGAGCTCTCTTGGCATTGAGCTCTCGACTCAAGTCCTCGTTGACCAGCGTGCCGCATCCAACGCCCCACGCGACAGTCTCTCTTTGCGCATTGTGCGGCGCCATGATGCGAACAATAAGGGCGTATCTCTGGTTCCGGTCACTTGCACTGTTCATTCAACTGTTTGGGTCATGTGTAAAATGCGCATGACCCGAAGTGGGCTGCCGAGCCGCGCGCGGCCCCAGCTTTGGGTCAATGTGCAGGTGTTGGGCGACTGACGTGCACGACCCTCCCCCAACCAATCACCTGGTTGCACGATTCACGTCAGACTGCCATCTTTTTGGCCGTCGTCGGTCGAGTCATGCAATTTTGCAATGTACCGTATTCTATACCTCTGCACCCAACCACTCGGCAAATTGATCCCAGTGACCCCCGAATGTGTCTTGAATTTCCCGCGTCGCGCTCCCAGCATTTGGGGATTCATGCCGACATTTTTGACGGTTTTGTTTTTAGATGGGTGTCGCATGGTTTTGCGTGGGTGTAGCTAATGATCTTTCGAACTGTTCTGGCATCCCTCCATTGGATGCGACTGTTGTTTGGGGCGTAATTTTGGCGCGAAAAAGCCTCGCGCCAATTTGGAGGTCGCATGAGTACCGAGAACCCAAAGTGGTGTTCTATGTTGTTTGGGGCATCCGCAATTTACGCATGCCCGGAACAGTGCAAGTGACCGGAACCAGAGATACGCCTTAATGAGGGAACTAGGTTACTGCGTACGACGGTACAGACGGCACACTCCTCTCCTCTCTTCCCCACCCAACCCTCACCTTCTACTCTCTAAAAAATCTCTTGTTTTCGATCTGGCGAGGCGAGACCCTATGCCAGTGAGGCGATGAGTTGAATCAAGCCATTATTGCCGCGCTGCCGTCCAACTCGATTGCCTCTGCCACACCCCAGAAGTAGTACAGCTTTCTCCGGATGTTGCGCGTTTTGCGGCGGAGCCATGCCAGCAATAACCGCGCGATGATGGGAGGGGGCCATCATGCTGGCGACCATCGTGCTGGCGACCATCGTGCTGGCGACCATCGTGCTGGCGACCATCGTGCTGGCGACCATCGTGCTGGCGACCATCGTGCTGGCGACCATCGTGCCGGCGACCATGCTGGCGACCATGCTGGCGACCATCATGCTGACGACCATCGTGCTGGCGACCATCGTGCTGACGACCATCGTGCTGGCGACCATCGTGCTGGCGACCATCGTGCTGGCGACCATCGTGCTGGCGACCATCGTGCTGGCGACCATCGTGCTGGCGACCATCGTGCTGGCGACCATCGTGCTGGCGACCATCGTGCTGGCGACCATCGTGCTGGCGACCATCGTGCTGGCGACCATCGTGCTGGCGACCATCGTGCTGGCGACCATCAAGCTGGCGACCATCGTGCTGGCGACCATCGTGCTGGCGACCATCGTGCTGGCGACCAACTGGGAATACCGAGTCCGCCACCCTCGCCTCCTCCTCCTGCTGGTCTTTCGCCGCTACTTAAGTCGCCTCCATTCCGCCATTCACCATCACCAACTGAGTGCTTCTCTCAGTGCTCGAAAGTCACCCAAATCTGATCTTTATCGTCGTTCGCAGTGCTCTTCCTGTAATCCGACGCTCCTACGCTCTCTAAATCGCTCGTCACCATGGCCATTCTTCGCACCTTGTTCATCCTCGCCTTGGTCCTCGTCTCGCTCCCCGCACTCCATGCCGCGTCCGTGCCACTGCGGGGCGACGTCGCTGCTGGGGGAAGCGCGGGCGAGGACGCGGCGAGTTGGGGGCGCAAGCTGCTGGAAGCGAGCGGCGGTGACCTGGACGTGGGTGGCGAGGAGGAGGAGATGGGGGAGGCGACGGACGGGCTGGACGAGGCGGTGCGGGTGCTGCTGAGCTGGAAGAAGATCAAGAATGTGGCGAATCAGGCGGCGAAGAGCGAGGCGGGGCAGAAGGCGGGAGGGTTGGTGAAGAATGTGGTGAAGAAGGGCGGCAAGGAGGCGCTCACGGCTGCAGTCAACGCGTTCCGCAGCGGCAAGGGCGCCAAGGGTGCCCTGCAGGCGGGCGCTGGCTCGTTCGTCAAGACCGCGAAAACGATGATCTAAGTGGGAGAGGGGAGATTGGAGGGGTGAGAGGCACGGCGGAGTGGAGTTGGGCAGCGGCAGGCAGGGCAGCAGCGCAGCTGGTATGGTGCCTGCTGCTGGTAGCAGCTCGGTGCAGTGGGGTTCTGCAACGGCAGACAAGGCACTCCATAAGCTGCTCCTGCTGCTGCTGTTACCTCCACTGCTGTCGGTGCTTCTGCCTGCTGCTGCGGTCCCTCCTGTCTGTTGCTGCTGATGTGGCTTGCAAGTGACACGGTTTGCAAACTTGGTTGCTTAGTTCTGTCCTGGTGATGCTGCTGGGAGAGGTATGTGTGTGTGGGGGGGTGGAAGGGTTAGGTGGTGTGTGTGGGTGAAAGAGTTAGGTGGGCGTGTGTGCTGTGAGTGCATGGTTGGTAGCGGAACTGGGTGCTCCTTTGGTTCTTCTGTAATCGCAAATATATCTGCTGCTACCATGCATTTGCTGAAGGCATTGAAAGTTAAGATGGGATCGTGAAAAGAATCTGGTGTTTTGAATCTGAAATTGTCATACATCACGCACTCACCACACACCCAGGCAGTCACCACACACATCAGACACTCGCCACACGCACTGCGCACTCACCACACACGCCACAACTGGCTCACTGTCTGTCCTGTCCTGCTCACGCACACCGTCAGTTGAGGTGAAGAGTGGCAGAAAGAATTCAGGCTCTAGATAACGTTACCGACGCTGGCCGCCTTGAGAGCAAGTGGGAGCTGCTATGGTTCTGTAGTTGGCATTTTGACGCGCCACTGATAGCATATACACCCCAACCCTGATGACATTCTCTTAAAAAGCTGATTCCATATACCGAATCTGCTTCTTTCCACAAGCAATTTCTGCACCCTTCTTCGCATCCTCTTCCCACATACCACTCTTCCATTTGCTTCCTCCCGGAAAACCTTGCTTGATACACGTGTCATGCATGTTCTTCCCCAATACATACCTCTCATGCCGTACTTGCCCTCACACCCTCTCTTCCCTCCCCCACAGCCCCTTCCAGTGAGCCATTGGAGGGGGGTATTTCTCCCTGTGATATTCCATTTCACCCCTTTGCATCCCTGCGTCTGTCCTTGCCCTTCCACACCCAACCAAGCAGCCACTGGAGTGGGGGAGTAAACTTGTCATAGCAACCCTCACCGCTTTGCACCCCTGCATCCATTTGTGCCCTTCTCTCCCCTCCTGCACAGCCCCTGCCAGTGATGGTTGGGTTCCTGCAAGGCAACCCGATGAGCCACTGGAGCGGGGGAGTCAACCTGTGGAAGCCCCATTCACCGCTCTGCACCCTACATCCGTCCTCGCCTCCCCACATTCCCAACAGCCGCTGCCAGTTAGTTTTTGGTTCATGCAAGGCAACCCAGTGAGCCACTGGAGCGGGGGAGTAAACCTGAAAGCCTCCTGCTGTGAAACCAGGGGACAGACTTGGTGAGTGACGGGGTTGCGTGGTAAGGAAGTGATTGGGGTGGGTGAGACGAAGTGAAAGTGAGCCACGGGGGAGCCAACCTATGGAAGCCACCTGCTGTCGAGTCAGGGGACATTCTCGGTGAGTGAGGAGCGGGTGGGATGGAGGGGTTGTGTGAGTTGAATGGGAGGCTGGTAGGGTGTGCTTAGGCTGAACCAAGGGTGTGGGCAGGGAAACCATGCACTAGGCTGTGGGTGTTAATCATAGTGTATCTCCCCTCTCTCTCTCCCTCATTCCCTTCCCACTGACACCTGTTCTGTTCCCACCCTCGTTCACCCCATCCCCAATCGTGTCTCACGTTTCCAGCCTAATGCTGCTCGAGTTGAGCATATATTGTCAAAATATATGTGCTGAGGGTGCTGAGGGTGACTGCTACTTGTGTGTACCGCCGGATCCTAGTATAGTCCCTGGTATAGCGCCTGCAGCACTAGGTGCTTGTGAGTCTGCTCCCCTTGGTACTGCGCCTGCACAGGCCTTGCACACTTTTACACTTGACTCTGGTGTTTCCCGCTGTTTCTTTCGTGACAGTACCACAGTCACTCCCCTCCCTGCACCTGTTCCTGTCTCACTGGCTGACCCCTCTGGGGGCCCAGTACTTGCACGGTCTTCCACCGTGCTTCCGTGTCCGGCGGTCCCGTCTGGTGAGCTGTCTGGTCTCCACCTCCCCTCGTTCTCTACGAACTTGGTGAGCAACGCTGTCCTCCAGGATGCAGGGGTTGACACCTTCACCCCTGGCCGGCAGCGTGTGGCGATTTGCACGTGCTCCCAGACCGGCCGCCACCTGGCCACGTTGACCCGTGCGCAAGGGTCCAGTCTGTACACCCTCACCACTGCGTCGCGCTCCACCCCTTTGTCTCCCCAGATGCACGCGTCTGCTCAGGTAGCTACCCAGTGTGAGTGTCGCCGGCTGTCGCACGACACTCTCCTGTGGCACCACCGCCTTGGTCACCCCTCCCTGCCTCGCCTGCGTAGCATGCACTCTCGCTTCCTGGTCTCTGGTCTTCCCAGGTCTCTGCCTGCCCTCCCTCCCTCGCCTGCGCCGCCCTGCATTCCTTGTGTCGAGGGGCGGCAGCGCGCCGCTCCTCACTCCTCCTCGTTCCCTCCCACAGAGGCTCCCCTGCAGACTCTCCACCTGGATGTGTAGGGCCCAGCCCGCGTCCGTGGACAGGGCCACGAGCGGTACTTCCTGCTGGTAGTCGACGACTACACGCGTTACACCACGGTCTTCCCCTTGCACCGCAAGGGGGATGTCCCTGATGTTTTGATCCCCTGGATCCGCGCTGTTTGTCTCCAGCTCCGCGAGCAGTTCCAGTCGGACTTTCCTGTCATGCGTCTGCACTCTGACAGAGGTGGTGAGTTCTCCTCAGACCTCTTGGCGGCCTTCTGTGCGGAGCACGGCATCCGCCAGATGTTCACGCTTCCGGCCTCTCCGCAGCAGAATGGGGTTGCTGAGCGTCGCATTGGCTTGGTCATGGAGGTCGCTCGTACCTCCATGATCCATGCGGCTGCCCCCCATTTTCTGTGGCCGTTTGCGGTCCGGTACGCCGCGCATCAGCTCAACCTCTGGCACCGTGTCTCCTTGCCGGAGACCTCGCCCACACTACTGTGGACGGGGAAGGTTGGCGACGCGTCGCGTTTCCGGGTCTGGGGTGCTCGTGCCTTTGTCCGCGATACCACTGCGGACAAACTCTCCCCTCGCGCCATTCCTTGCGTCTTCCTTGGCTTTGTCCCTGACGCGCCTGGCTGGCAGTTTTACGACCCCGCCTCGCGCCGTATCTTTGCGTCTCAGGACGTCACCTTTGACAAGTCGGTCCCCTTTTACCGCCTCTTCCCCTACCCCACTGCTCCTCGCCCCCTCCCGCCGCTCTTTCTCGCCCCAGGTCCTCCCCAGGTAGACCCCCTCCCAGCGCCAGGCCCTGCTCCTTCAGGTGTTTCTCAGGTAGACCCTCCCGTCCCCGAGCCTGTTGAGGTCACTGGTGACTCCTGTTCTGCTGGGAGTGGTGCTGTCCTTGGGGGTGCGGAGCGTGGGGGTGCGCAGCGTGGGGGTACTGAGTCTGGGGGTGCTGAGCGTGAGGAGCTTGAGGGTGCGGAGCCTGAAGGTGCTGAGCCTGCGCGTGAGGAGCCTGGAGGTCCTGAGCCTGGGGGTGCTGCGTCTGGGGGTGCTGAGTCTAGGGGTGAGTCGCCTGAGGGTTCTGAGACTGCTGTTACGCGGTCTCCTTGGAGTAGCCGTCTTCGTCCGCGTGTGCCTCTCACCTCCCAGCAGCTGCACGACTGGTACGGTCGCCGTCAGCGTCGCGCTTCTGCACCTCAGGGCTCTACTGCTGGGGGTTCTTCTGCTGGCGTCACTGGAGCTGTGAGTGGTGCTGGTCCTTTGCCTACTGGAGGTGCTGGTGTCGCTGGTCCCGGAGGTGCTCGTACTGGGGGTACTGGAGCTACTGGGGCTGGCGGTGGTGTGTCTGAGGGTACTGCTGCTGGTGGCACTACGGTTGGAGACCCTGGGACTGGAGGTGCCGGTTCTGGGGGTGCTGCACCAGGAGGGGCTGGAGTTGCTGAGGGTGCTGGAGCTGCTGGAGGTACTGGAGCTGCTGAGGGTACTGGAGCTGCTGAGGGTACTGGACCTGCTGGAGGTACTGGAGCTGCTGAGGGTGCTGGAGCTGCTGGAGGTGCTAGAGCTGTTGAGGGTGCTGGAGCTGCTGGTGCTGGTGGCACTGCACAGCCGCGCCTATTCTTTGCTCCGCCGTCTCCGTCGTCTCTGCCACAGCCTGACTTTGTACTTCGCCAGGTTCTTAGCCTCTTGTCGTCTACTGGTCTTCCGTTACAGCCTGGCTCACCTCTGCCTGCTCCTTCTCCTTACGCTGAGCAGACAGGGGGCCTTACTGAGCCTGCGTCGCGTCCTGTCTCACCTGTCCGTTCTGGTCGTTCCAGTCGTCGTGTTCCTCGTCAGCGTCAGCCGGCTGTCCCCGGCCCTTCCCTTGTAGTCCGTCGTCCTTCCTCTCCTCCGCAGAGTGTTCCTCTACCGTCTCCTCCTGCGTCTTCTCTGCCTGAGTCTGACCAGTTTCGTACTGAGCACCCTATTGTCACGCGTCTGCTAGCCACTGTTGTCTCTGACCCGTCGTTTGAGTCCACTGCTGCGTCTGCCCTAGTCGCTGAGCTTGTCGACTTTGCTGCTGCCTGTCGTCTAGACTACGCTGCTAGTCTTGTTGCTGAGTCTGAGTCTGTCTGTCCTCCGTCCGTCGGGGGTGAGTGTGCTCTTAGCACGGACAGGCACGAGGACCTTGAGTGTCTTGCGGCCGCTGCGCCTCATCTCGTGGCCATGCTGCTTGCCCCTGAGTTAGACCCGGATGCACCAGACATCCCCACCCCGCGCTCTTACGCTGAGGCGATCGCGGGTGAGTACTCCTCTCAGTGGCAGACAGCCATGGACGCAGAGATGGCATCCTGGAAGTCCACAGGCACCTACGTCGACGAGGTTCCCCCTCCTGGGGCGAACTGTTATAGTCACAATAGGCTTGAATGTGCCTA